ATGGCCATCAAATACATGAAAAGATACCTAAGGTCATTAGCCATGAAATAGCTGCAAGCCAAAACTACAATAAGATACTTCTACTCCTATATTATGTTTCTATATAGTTACTATTACATTGTTGAAGCTGTAAATATTTCATTTTGTAAATATTTCACTAACTATGAATAAGTCTATTGGTCTTGAGAGGTATCCTCCTGATGGTGCTGTGGGTTAATCTTTAGACAGGTAACTCAGAAGCTGGTGGTTTGAACCTACCAGTTGCTCCACAAAAGAAAGATGGGACTGACTGCTTCCATAAAGGTTTTCAGTATTGGAAATTCTATACAGCAGTTCTACTATGTCCTTCCTATAGTGTCATTATGAGTTGAAATTGGCCCAGTGGAAACGGGTCATTAATCTTGCTGTCTTTGGTGCAAAAGAAAAGAAGAAAACACAAAAATGAAAGAAATAAATGGACTACAGGGCTAACTGTTTCAATGAATCACTACCTATTCTACTTTTGAGACCAGAAGAACCAAGGGCTATCCAGTCACCACTACAGAATATTCTGAGCAGAGATGGTTCCTGATAGAAAGAAAGAAAAAATGTGGAACAGAACTTCAGATTCTTAAAGAATGTAGAATTACTGAACCCAATGAGCCTGGAAGAATCCCCAACACAACTGACCTAAGACACTCTTTAAACTATAAAAATGAATTTATCCCCTGAAATTCCCTTTAACGAAATAGCAGTTAGCTGAAAAATTAAAGAATGCTATCCTTGAGTACTGTATTCCTTTAAACAATTATTTATATGAGAATAAACGGGCAATAGATACGCTAAAGCATATACAAGACATTTGGTGAGCTGTGAGACTGAGCGAATGCATGTCAAACAACTAGAGCAGAAATAATGAGAATGTTGACACAACTGGAACACTGTAACCAATATTACTCAACATTATATACAGAAATGAATGAATGAGAACATGTTTTTCCACATGTATATTTTCATCAAAACTACAACATTGAAAGAAAAAGTAGGGTACAATCAATGCGACTATACTATTAGGATTACTGCAGTTTAATACAAAATCAAGTGGAGTGCTTACTTAACATCACTGTTCCTGCAATTTCCTGAGCTATTCAAGAATGAATGTTGAAATAACTTATTATGCTTACTGACTACTTGTTGCTCAGTATGATACCATTATTGCTCAGTGTTATGGAACATTTTCCTTTGCTTTATCATAGATTTAAATGTTTCTTTGAGTTATGACTGCCTTTTCTTTTCCTTATAAATTGGAAGAAAAAAAGGTGCCTTTCTTACTGCAAGTCATCTTATATATTGTTTTCACTTAATTCCTGTTCTCTTGTTAAGACCCAATGCCTGTCTTTTCTAATTGAGACCCATTGTTTCTTATCTCTAGCACAACTTTCTAGTTGTGTGGTGTGGTAGCAGTAATTGTACAGAGGTACAATAGAAAGAGGTCAACATTTCTGTTCACTCAATGGCTCTGAGAACTATCCTTGTTCCTTCACAATTTTCTTTGTATTTAAAGAAGTTGAGTAGGATACTCTTGAGTAAAGTTAAAAATTCTGATCAATATTAACTATTTCCCCTTTCTACAGGTTAAAAAATGTTTTTTTTCTTTATTGTTGTTTGATGCTGTGAGTTGATTTTGACTCATAATAACCCAACATGACCAAAAAAAAAAAAAAAAAAAATGCCCAATAGGGTTTTCTTAGAGTATAATTTTTATTGGAGAATATCATTAGGTCTTGCTTACTGGAGCTGCTAGTTGGGTTCAAACAACCAACATTTCAGTTAACAGGTGAGTGTAACTGTTCCCTTCAAAATATTGTTGTAAATCTTAATCCCCATATTTGTGGGTGTAATTCCATTTTGGAATAGGGTATTCTTTGTAAGGTTGATGCTATCATATCAGCACAGGGTATATCTTAAGCTAATCAATTACCTTTGAGATATTAAAAAGGCACAGAGAAGATATTACAAATGGAGAAAAATTGTTGCTGTGTGGAGACCATCAAAATACTAACAAAGAGAAACTGAACATGACAAGTATCATCTCCCAAAGAAGACAAAAAGAGCCTTCCCCTTGATGTAATTCCTTGAAATCAAACTTCATGCTTTCTAAACTGTGGTGCATAATGGTTAAAGCGACCTGCTGTTAAGTGAAAGTTTGAGTTCAAATTTACCAGAGGATCCATAAGAGAAAAACCCTGGCAATCAGCTTCTATGAAAGTCCTACTCTGTCCTATGTTGTTGCAGTTGTGTATTGTAGATTCAATTCCTATTCACGGCAAGACTGTATGACAGACTATAACAGTTACATAGGATTTCCTAGGTAGTAATCCTTATGGCCATAACTTGTCTGTCAGTTTGTCACACTGTGGTGGCTTGTGAGTTGCTGTGATTCTGAAAGCTATGCCACCGCTATTTTAAATACCAGCAGAGTCTCCCATAGTGGACAGGTTTCAGATGAGCTTCCAGACAAAGACAGACTAGGAAGGAGTGATGAACTACTTTAGAATATTTAGTCACTGAAAACCTTATGAATAGCAGAGAAACACTGTCAGACATAGTGCTGGAAAATGAGCCCCTCAGGTTGGATGTCACTCAAAATGCGACTGGGGAAGAGCTGTCTCCTCAAAGTAGAGTTGACTAAGATGCTCATGAGGAACCTGTATATAGACCAAGAGGCAATTGTTCAAACAGAACAAGTGGCCAATGAATGGTTTAAAACCAGAAAAGATGTGCTCAAGTGTTATATTTTTCACTATAATTATTTCAATCTGCATGCTGAGCAAATTATCTGAGAAGCTGGATTATATGAAAAAGAACATGGCATCAGGATAGGAGGATGACTCATTAACAACCTGCAATATGCAAACGATACAACCTTGTTTGATGAATGCAAACACAACTTAAAATACATATTAATGAATACCAAATACCACAGGCTTCAATATGGTTTGCACCTCGATGTAAAGATAACAAAAATCCTAACCACTGGACTAATAATTAACATTATTATAAATGAAGAAAAGATTGAAGCTGTCATATATTTCATTTTGCTTGGATCTACCATCAACATTCATGAAAGAAAATTACATATTGCACTAGGCAAATCTTCTGCACAAGAATACTTTAAAACATTGAAGAATAAAGATGTCAGCATGAGGACTTTAGTTCCTGACTCAAGCAGTGGTATTTTTAATAAAGTCATATGACTATGAAATTCAGACAATGAATATGGAAGACACTAGAAGAATTGATGCATTTAAGTTGTGCACTGGAGAAGAATTTTTAAAGTACCATAGACTGTCAGGAGAACAAACAAAGAGGCCAAGATGACCAGATTTCATCTTTCATGCTTTAGACCTATTATCAGAAGGGACTTGGAGAAGGACATCATACTTGGTAAAGTTGAGGGTCAGCAAAACAAAGGGAGATCCCTATCGAAATGGGTTGTCACAGTGGCAGTAGCTATGGGCTCAAGCATAGCAGCAAGTGTGAGGACGGCTAGTGTTTTGTTCTATGTACAGAGGTTTGCTCTGGGTAGGAAAACACTTGACAGCACTTAACAACCACATCTTCAACATTTTCCTTTTCACTTTTAATAAAGAAAAATCCATTGGGGTATGTTGGGAAATGTTCTGTTTAAAGGTTCACTGTACAATTTTGTCACCAGGCAACATTGTGAGTCATCGAATAATATTGACTAGGATTTTGCCAATGTAAATTTAGCTTCAGTGCATAATAACAAGTTGTTTTTCAGAGAGTTAATGGGCTTCATTTTACTATCTGTACAATAGGAAAATAGGTATAAATATCCAAGTATATAATTAATTCTATGATTAATACAGTATGGCAAAATAACGAATGCTTGTAATGAGTTCTGGAAATACTAATTTAATTAGTGTTGAAATGATTGTCTATTATTTTAATTAATTGCATCAAAATTGCTGAATATTTCGTTATATAATTTATAAAATTTGGATATTTTGTATAATATAAGATTATTAAAAAATGATACATACTTGCACAGTTACCTTTTCCATTGAACAGATTAAAATATTGCAAATGTATAAAATATAACTATTTAGAGACATAACCAGAAGTGACAATAAAATCTATTTTAAATCTACTGGGGATTTGCTATTTTAATTAGCATTTACACCACATAGTATCTAATCCCAAGACAGAATTTTCCCTTTCCTGAATTAATTTAATTTAGCACTTTACTTAAGTAGCTATCAATCAATTTACTAAAGTAAATAAGTATAACATACACATCCCAATGGAATTTATTTAGAAAATCAACATTCTGTCTGGAATACCCAATTAGAAATAAAGAAAAACTACAAAATGCACAAATTATATTTTCCTTGATTACCTGTCAAAAACAACCTCTACATTTCATGAAATGTTATAAAAATAAAAAAGTTCTGATGAAACATCTCTGCATTCATCTTTAAATACATGAAAAAAGGTACCTTCTATAAGTGCTACAATATTAAATGACATAACTCTACATAGCTACCTAGTCCTTATTCTCTACTAATTGCCAAACTGTAATGCTGAGTCAATTATAGACATACAGTTTTAAGATTAAAAACTTACCTGAGATAGAACAGAAGAAAAAAAAATTAGGGGCTTAAGGTTTTAGTGACTATCAGAATCACTTTTTAAAAAATTTTATTTGCTAAACTAGTATTAAACCCTAAAACAGAAGCCATATACTAACTCTAGGCCTATCAAATGAGTTTAACAATTAAAATTTAAGATGAAAAAGACTCTCAAGACTATTATGAAAACATAGCAAATTATTATCAACTTTTATATAGGTCTCTGACCCTCACCAGATACAGACAAATCATAAAAATACAAGTATAGATACAAACCTTGGCTTACTATTTTTCTAAATCATATAACTGTACTTATTTTTTTAATAGAATTTAAAATTCATTATCTTAAGAAAAAAATATACTTACTGCCCTCTAGAGGTATGAACCAGTAGTGTAATAAGTGTAGATGTTGCTGGGCATATACAGTTTAAAGCTAACATGGCGTATTTAAACTCTTCTTCACAAACAACATGATCTGTTTGAAATAAAACAGGTAAATTAGAGCAATTTACCTTGGGAGAATAACATTTTTAATAATGTAAAAAAGAAGACAGTGAATAAAATTATAAAAGTTTCAGTACAAATACATTTGCTTTAGAGATGCTTTTACATTTGAAATTGTATCTCGAGGAACAATGTTTCATAAGAAAGAGAGTACTCTATCATAAATTAAGTGATTTGAAGGGGTCATATTCTGTTCACAATTCTGTCTTTAATGAAATTTGCAACCTTTGGTAACTTCCTTGATCATCCTAAGCCTCATCTGTATAAGTGGGTAAGAAGCAAGTAGAACTGTGGTACAGCCCTGAAAATAAACTGAATATTTCAGATTTATCACTGAAGTATCCTTTAGTTCTGATATTAAAATAGTACTCAAATGAACTTTAAAAAACAGTACGTACATATCAAACTCAAAAACTGAAAGTGATTACTAAAAGAGTTGAGATATATGCCTTATATATAAATAATAGATTTTATACTATTAAAACAATTATATTAATAAAAAAATTCATGCTAAAACAAATTGAAATTGTTATTCTTCCTTTATCTCAAGACATATGGACCATAAACTAAAAAGATAATACATCAATTCAAAACAAAAAAGATCATAGGGCTTAGTCAGATAATATAGCCTAAGCTATGACTGAAAAGGGAAAAATGTAGAAACAGCTGTGACTTTGGTGGTTGTGTGCCCTTGAGCTGCTTCTTACTCATGGAGATCTAGTATCGGGTTTCTGAGGCTATAAATCTTTACTGGAGGAGAAAGCCTCATCTTTCTTGCATTGAGCAGCTAGTGGCCTCAAATTCTGACCTTTCGGTTAGCAGTCCTTTCCCAAAGTGTAACCCACTACACCACAAAGGCTTCATAAAAACAGTACAGAGTATAAATGGGAAGATGCAAGCCCATGCAGTGGAGAATGATAGTATTAAATTCTAGTATACAAGGGGCTTCAAAAAGTCTGTCAAAAAATTCTACTATCTTTTAATTTAATTTTTCCACAAATTTTAAGAAGCCCCATAGTTTTATTTCAACACATAAATGAGGGCTCAAATGCTTGATATTCAAAGTTCCACTTTACTTTAGAGCAGTTATAATAACATTGTTTATTTGGGGCTCGATGGGAGGACGAAGCTCCTTCCCAAGTGAAAATTATAGCTGAAATTGAATTTACTGAAATAAGTTGAAATTGTTATAGCTAAAAATAAAAATGATGCTGCTGAAAAACCTAATAAAATAAATGCTTTGTGGCAGAAAATTACAGTTATAGCAAAATTAAGGAATAGAAGGTTGAATCTGTCAATGAATCTATTATATATGAGCACATATACTACTACAATTTGTGTGGTGGGGAGAAGGAAAAAGGTTACTTGGGAAATAATAGTTCATTAGGTGTTCTGAACAGACACATATTAACCTGAGTTCTGTGTTTATAATATAATTTGGCATTATATTTTTCCTTTGTTTTCATTCATTTACTTTTTCTCTCTCACATTTTATGGCAGAAATTATATACTACAGATATTCTCTCAGAGTATCAGGGATTTGATTTTTACTTGCAATTATGTTATAATAATAAAAAGGAAAATAAAAAATGTAATTATTGTTTTGCCAAAAAGGTAGACAATATAAATCAAAGTTTGAATGTGGAGAGGTCTATAAAATCTGTACCACAGAACAGCATCTCTGAAGTACTATTTCAGTATTTCACAAAGATATTTAGTGTCTGGTCAATCTGTGAATATAAAGAAATAAAGCTGCTAAATGTAGAATATTATCACTTTAGAATCTTGTAATAGTAATACATAGGGTACCCATATATTTTTACCCAAAACTGTAACACATGGTTTTAGAAAAATGTGTTTATGATGGAATGAGACAAAATATTTAAAATCCGTAACATAGTCCATAAAATTCAGCATGTATGATTATAATATATATGATACCACATGCAAGCACTGACCTTCCCTTTCTATAATGTTGTTGCTGTTGTTAAGTGCCGTCGAGTGGGTTCCGACCCATAGCGACCCTGTACAGGGCTTCCGATGGTGTAAATCCTTACGGGAGTAGAAAGCCTCATCTTTCTCCCGCGGAGCGGCTGGTAGTTTCGAACTGCTGACCTTAAGGTTCGCAGCCCGATTCGTAACCACTACGCTACCAGAGCTCCTTCTATAATAGATAAACTATATTTCTTCCAGTAAGGGAGCATGAGAAAATGTGGTGAGTACATCTGTGATCGTTTGAAAACATTTTTTTCCGAGTTTAAAAAAACGAAAGAAAATCCCCTTGGTTCCATCTTCCTCAATTGGATGTGTACCTAAGGTTTGGTGGAGATGGCTAAGGGAGGATTATGTAACTTGTTAATTTGTTAAAAATCATCATGTTGTTGTTGTGTGCTACTGAGTCAGTTTCTGATTTATAGTGACATTGTATAGGGTTTCCATGAGTGAATGTTGGGTATGAACTGCTGACCTTGAAGGCAGTAGTCCAGTGTTTATTCTATAGAGCTACAGCAGAGCTAAAAACTTATCAGAGTTTCCCACAAACAGTATTCACAAATAAACAACTCACACTCACATAAAATGTGTGGAAATGACAAAATTATATAAAATAAATTCTGGCATAGAGAGCCCATGCTCTCCTGATATTCTAAAAGTTAATTTCAGTCTCATTCACTTTTATTCAACAGTCTGGCAATCTTAATTTTGTATAATGTTTGTATAATAAAGGCATAAACCATAGTCAAAAAGTCATGGAGAACATTTGGTAGTACCTAGGAAATCTGAAAACAAAAAAACAAAAACACAAAAAAAACCCTGAAATTGTATTGTATTTGGTTTTTTTTGGCCAGGTTTGTCTGAGAGCGGTAGCACTCCTTGCAGTCAATCTGTGCTTGGATGCCATGCATGAGATTGTTGTCAAGTGCCATTTAATAGTTCTGACTCATAGCAACTCAGTATAGGGTTTCCTAGGAGTGGTACGTGAGCTTGAACTACCGACCTTGCAGTACAAACTGACCCTGCAGTCCAGAGCATTTTCCTACAGCATCATACCAGGATTCAGTAGGCCATGCAGATGGACAGACAAAAGAGTTCTTTTTATAGAGCAGAATAAGAGACTAATCAATATGTTTACTATATAGTTTAGAGGGTTTCTACAATCATTATTCCAAAAGATTTACTAATCCCTCAAGACTGCTTTGTCTTAACCATTCTTCCTTTTTCTAAGAAGCACTTAGAGGTATCTTGTTCTATTTAAATGTGGATCTGACTTTGTGTGGGGCTGCTAATTACTTTACTAGTGGGTATGTTGTCAGACCATCTGAAGTCAGATCTAGATGTGACTTAGCATTACCCAGATATTTAGAATTAGATACAGTGATTATTGAAAGTTTGTAGTATTTTCTGTGTGGGATGAATGAATGCTTTTAATACACGGGACTAATGCTGTACATGGATACTTGAGTGGTCAATTGTTTGAAATGTGAGTGAAGCAACAATTGTCTCCTTGTATCCATTCCTTTATCTCCTTGTATCCATTCCTTCCTTCTCCCTTTAATTGTTGTTAGTGGTAAGTGCCCTCGAGTTGGTTCTGACTCATAGCAACCCTGTATAGGGTTTCTGAGGTGACTGGTGGGTTTGAACTGCTGAATTTTCTGTTAGCAGTACACTGATCACCTTCCAGTGTCATTTTTCCGCACCAAGGCTTAGATTGATGCATGGCTGCTCTGGTAGGAATTATATTTTCTAGCTTCCTTTTGTGCTAGGTATAGACATATGGCTGGGTTTTGCCCAATGCGGTATGTGCATCACTGTGGTATTGCTGGATTATTTTTAAAACAAAAGAACATTCTCTAAACACTTTCCATTTTGCTGTGGAGACCACATATGTGGCAAAAGCCCAATTTTGATTGTGCAGACAAAGATAACTCCTAGAGTAATCAGAGCATTCCATTTTCTAATTATGCTTCTAATTTCCCTCCCTTCCTTGAGTAAAGTATTTTCTATTCCAAAATAACATATGGTTAATCTTCTATTTTCTCCTTGTTGTTTTAAAGTTTGTTGGTTGTTGGCAAAACATAAGCATATGAGGTCAAATGGCATCACCAGTGAACATGCCAGGCCACGCGGAGTTCCTCATCACTCTGAGCTCAACATGTAAAGTATTTAAAATGTGAAAAATAATAGCATTTTCTTCACAAAGTTTCATAAGTAAAAACATTACAGATTTCATTGAACAATCTTGAAACATTGTCAATGACATTATTACAACTCAAGTAGCAAAGCAATATAACAAATTCCATATTATATATAGAAAAATGAGTTCATTTATATAAAAATGATGAGTGTCTTTTAAAAACAACTTTTCATTGTAAATTGAGAGAAGGTTTACAGAGCAGTTTATCAGTTGCATATTAGAAAAAATCATGCATTGTTTCATCTCAATGATTGTTGTTTTTTGATTAGGTGCCATCGAATTGGTACCAACTCATAGCGACCCTATGCAAAACAGAATGAAACACTGCCTGGTCCTGGTCCAAATTCACAATCGTT